TGCCCGTGCCCCCGCGGCGTTGCACAAGCGCTGTAGGTGGGGGGGTGCGGAGCCCCTCGGTGCCGCCCCCCGGCTGCGGGGTGCGGGTGTGCGCATGGCTCGCTCTTGTCTCGCAGCCCCCGGTGTCACTCGTGTGCGTGTTTGCATGTGCGTGTCACCTTGCGCAGGGGGTGTCCCTGTGTGTCCCCCCTGCGGGATGCCCTGTGTCAGGTGCTCCGGGTTGGGTACCCCAGCGCTCGCTGCGGGACTCCCCAGGGCCAGCCCTGCTTCCAGGGAGATCCCGCTGGCCTGGGCCTTTCCCACACCACCGGGGAGTTGCATCCAAAGCCATTAGCCTGGCTCGCCACTAACCACATCTCTGCTGGGGCTGGTGCCACTGGCACCTGAGGCACCTTTTTGGAGTGACAGGGGTGGGTGGCACTCAGCGATCTGCCGTGCTGGGGGTGCTGGGGGGGCTCACAGGGCTGGGGCCACCCCAGCACCTGTTAATTTTCCCAGAGAGGAATATATGGAGCGTCGGACAAGGGCTGGGAAGTGTGTCCGTCCCTAGATCGTGTGGTTTCCAGCTGGCCTGTGTGATGCAAATTGTCTGGTCAGCGAGTGCCAGAGCTAAACTTAGGGCAATTACAGGAAAGTGTGGGCACATGGCAGTGTATTCCTACACCCCAAGGCTGGCCCTGGCACTCTGGCACTGGGGGACCCCTGTTCACTGCCCCATCCCAGTCAGGATGTGTTCCCACGGCTGAGTGTTCCCACAGCACCTGAATCAGCCCTGGACTTTGCCCACTGACGAGCTGTGGCTCAGCCCTTCACCTTTGCCATGGGCTGGGCCATGCAGGCCATCAGGCTGTGAATTTGGGGCCAGAAAAGGGTGATAAGTGAGGTGTGCATCCTGTGCTGAGGGGGCTGCAACCCATCTGAGCCCCCAGCTGGTCTTGGAACCATGTCCCACCTGGCAGCCCAGCTAAGATCCTGCCCCACTACCTCTGGCTCTACCCTGTAAGATCTCTTGAGCTGTGTCATTCCCCTGCTTTGGGGCAAGGCAGATGCTTGCACCCCATGCACCCTCCTGGCCTGGCCTCATAACCAGTCTGGGTCCACTTTGTTGTTAAGACATGGGGTTCCTGCAGCAAGAGGGCCTGAAATCCTGCTCTGGGGAGAGCCTGGTGGCATCTCCTGGCTGTGACTCAGGTAGATCCGGGATTGTTTTTCTCTAGACACATTCCAGTGTTGTCCATAAAGGAAGGCACTGCAGAGAGATTTGGAAACCCCCTAAATTTCCTTGTTCTGTGGAAAACTTGTGTCCAACAAGGAGCCATCACGCAGGTCAGCTCTCATTTGCCCTGCGTAGGAGGCGGCCTGGCTGCTCGGAATCGCTGCCAGCAGCTCCTGTTCCCTGGCACGGCATCATCCCTTCCTGGCTGGGCACAGCCAGGGCATGGGGTACCCCAACATGGTGTGCCCAAGGAGGCGACAGCCGCCAGTTCCTGTGCCAAAGTGACGTGAGAGCACAGCCCTACTGCTGGCATCAGGGAGCAGAGCAGGGAGAGCAGGCGACCGTGAAACTTGCCGTGCAGGTCCCTGCGCGGGAGTGTGTCGGACGAGATTGCGTCTCGAGGAGGGAAGGAGTGGCTGGGAGTTTCAGTGAACGCCTTCCTCCCTGCCTGGAGCTCCCCGGAGCCCTGGCAGGGATGCAGGGGCTCATGGCTGTGCTGGGGGGACATCGGGGAAGCTGCATCCAGCTCCTGCTTGGGTGGCTCGGAGAGGACTTTTGGCTTGGGGAGTGTTGAGATGTGTTTCCCTTTCTGCCATCTGGCCCTTCCAAGGTGACGTTCTCATCTTGCTCCAGCCCGGTGTCACAACAGCATCCTAGCGTGCCATCCCAGAGCAGCATCCTAGCGTGCCTGGCCAGCAGCTCTCCCTTCCCTGTCACGGCTCATGCATGCCGCTGCCCCAAACACGCCTGGCCAAGGGGAGCAAGCCCGGGCTGAGTCAGGAAAGGCGTGTTGGGTGGGAATCGGGAGCGAGGAGACACTCGGCAGCCACTTCCTTCTCACGGCATCGGGCTGGAGGCTTCTTGGGGAAAAGGGAGCAAACCACAATGGCATTCCACACGGGCTGGGGGCATCAGTGCAGGGCGGATGCTGCGCTCCTCTCCCCAGCCCACAAAAGTCCTGTCTCCCTGCCCCACTGCTGCCTATTGTGGCCCTGAGTGGGGCACACGTGGCTGCGGCAGTGGCTGCCGGTGCTGCCTGATTAGCGATGCAGCTGGGAACGCTGTTCCCCCTTTTTGTTGAGCGTACAAAGGCTGGGAGGCAGCCTGTGTGCCGGGAGAGAAACCACCGAGGACAAAGAGTGCGCTGGCCGCCTGTCTCCCGGTGCTGTGGGTCTAACCAGCATCTGCCTGGCGAGCGGCTCTGCTCCCAAGGGACCCCCAGGAAGGACCCCAGCAGCCCCCTCCCTGCCGTGGGGTGAGCACTGGGTGCTCCCAGGGGTGCAGTCCTTTTGTAGAGCTTCAGGGATGCCCAGGCAGCTGTAGCACGTGTCACACAGCGGGGACAGGAACAGGTGCAGGTGGTTCCTGCCCTGCCATTGTCTGTGCTGAGGCCCTGGCACGGGGGAGCCTCCAGGATGGCATGGCCACGGTGCTCTTTGTGGCAGCACCTGCTGTGGGTCATGAGAAGGAGCTGTGCTGTCCCCTGGCTTGGGTCAGTGATCACCCTGCAGACAGCAGTTCTGAGAGAGAAGAAAGGAAGTGGGCTGTTTTCATGTGTTTTGGGGCCCTGCCGTGCCCAGGTCCTGCTGTGGGTCTGGGTAAAGCCCCAGGTGCTGCAGGGAGGGCAGAGCAGCCAGAGCCCCAGGACTGGGTGGTGTGGGCACAGCTGTGACAGCCCCTCTGACCTCGTCCCTCAGGCTGCTTCCCCTCATTGTCTCAGAGGTATCACCCAGAGCCAACACTGCCATGGCTTGCAGGGCTCTGTCCTCATCTGCCCTGTGGCCAGGCCTCTCCTGGGCACGTGTGCTCCTGTCCTGGCCCCGAGGGACATCAAGGTTCAGGGAGTTCCCTGCCATCCCTGCGTGGCTTTGTCAATGGGAAAAGGGCTTTCCCTTGTCCCACTGGGTGTGTTCAAGGGCAGTGGAGACCATGTGCCCTTGCAGGGGGATGGTCCAGGCAGGGATGGTGATGCAGTAGTGATGCTGTGCTGGAGCCAAGGTGCAGCTTGGCACAGCACAGCACATCCATACAGCCCAGGCAGAGCCTGCACTCCCACCGTGGACAGCGCTACCCATCCCTAGAGCCACCCAAACTTTGTCCCCACACCCGTTGGAGATCTCTAAAGCAGATGCTTCAAACGTGAGGAGCTTTCCTGTTGTCCTTTGTGCTGAGGTTAAGTTCCTGTGCAGTTTCCTGCCCTGTTATATATAGCTGTCAGCCCGTCCCGTGGGCTCTGCCAGCCGCCTGCTCCACTTTGGAGTTGTTTATCCGCAGCCCAGGCACTCAGTGGAGGCTGGGGGGGTGGGGGTACCTCAGGGGCAGAGGAGTCCTATGCACCCCGTGCAGGGTGAGACTGTGGGTGCCTGCAGGCACTGGGTGTCCCCAGACACTGGGTGCACATGGGGTTTTCCAAGAGGGAGCTGGGTTTTCTGCCCAGCCGTAGTTTTCCCACTGGAAGCCGGGTGCTCCCCCTGCTCTGCGCGGGATGCCCGAATGAAAGAGCGACTGTTCCTGGAGGTCACCAACAGCGTCATGAGCCTCGATGTCACCCTGGCTAAAATTAGACACTGATCAGTGTTGGGAGGGATGTGATTTTACAGGTTCCTGTTTATTAGAGCAGCCTTTGCTCCAGGCCGTGTTTCCGGCTCCTCCCTGGTGGGGACACTGCCCACGGCAGCCCCTGTGGTTTGCAGTGGCCAGAGCCAGGATGAGCAGCAGAAAGGCCTCTGTTTCCTCAACAAGGGGCTTTTGAACTGCAGGCAGGACGTTGGTGGCTGGATGGGATATGGGATTTTACCCTGGGGAATGTCCCTGCCGGCAATAACTGCTGCAAAAGCCAACGGGATATTTTCTTCCCTGCCTGCCCATGCTGCTCCAAAACGGCTCCTGAGCTGCTGAGGGTCTTGCCTGCAGTCAGCCTCAGTGCCAGGCACTGCCAGGCTTCTGGGCTTCTTCTGGGGCAACCCCGAGGGTATAGGGCCATTCCTGTTGCACCCCTGGGGCTTGGTGCCCAGCCAGGGCCAGGACACATTGACTGGGGCAGTCTCAGCCCTGTGGTGCTGCAGTCCCCAGGGAGGGTGGGAGTGCTGGAACATGGCCCAGGGGCTGGGGGTGGCAGCTGGGGTGACCAGTGGGGTGGATGGAGGGGTGGTGGGAGGGTGTTGGCCATGCTGCTCTCTGACAGCACTCTTGTCTGTCCTTCTGCACAGGCGGCTGTGCCGTGACCAGCGCCCCAGCCCAGTGTCCTGCCGTGGGGGCAAGAGTGCCCCTGAGCCCCCACCCACCATGTTCAACCTGATGAAGAAGGACAAAGAGAAGGATGGGGCCCGGAAGGAGAAGAAGAAGGAGAAAAAGGAGCGAATGTCAGCAGCTGAGCTCAAGAGCCTGGAGGAGATGAGCATGCGCCGGGGCTTCTTCAACCTCAACCGGGCCTCCAAACGGGACTCCAAGACCCGCCTGGAGATCTCCAACCCCATCCCCATTAAAGTGGCCAGTGGTTCCGAGCTGCACCTCACAGATATTGACTCAGACAGCAACCGGGGCAGCGTCATCTTGGACTCAGGCCACCTGAGCACGGCTAGCTCCAGCGACGATCTCAAAGCCGATGATACCAGCTTCAAGGGCTCGGTGCTGCAGCGGGCAGCCAAGTTTGGCTCCTTGGCCAAGCAGAACTCTCAAGTGATTGTCAAACGCTTCTCCTTCTCCCAGAAAAGCCGGGATGAGAGCACCTCAGAGACCTCCACACCCTCTGAGCACTCGGCAGCCCCCTCTCCCCAGGTGGAGGTGCGCATGCTGGAGACCCCGCTCGACAAGCAGGGGGTTCCCCCCGGACAGCCCTGCACCCCTCCCAGCACTTCCCTGCATGCCAGGGTGCCGGAGCTCGTCGGCAAGAGATTCCCCGCCGAGCTGCGGCTGCCCGCCCTGGTGCCCCCCCAGCCCCCCAGCCCACGGCAGCTGGAGCTGCAGAGGCGCAACACTGGCGATTTCGGCTTCTCCCTGCGCCGCACCACCATGCTGGACCGGGGCCCCGACGGGCAGGTGTACCGGCGCGTCGTGCACTTCGCCGAGCCCGGAGCCGGCACCAAAGACTTGGCCTTGGGCTTGGTGCCGGGAGACCGGCTGGGGG